AAACCCTAACCCCTAAACACCCAAACAGGGAGGCTACCCTTTTCCGAAGCGCGAAGCCCTAGCGGCCTCTTTGGGGGTTCCTCGCCGAAGTTAGGAGGTCTAGGGTTTCAGTTTTGGTGTTTTAAGTTTGGGGTTTAAGGTTCAGGGTTTCAGTTTTGGTGTTGTCGGTTGTGTTTTTAAGTTTGGGGTTTCGGCGTGGAGGTTCGACTGTGGGGTTTCGCTTATGTCTAGCGTTTAAATTCCTGTTTGGGGGGTTGTAGGGCTTCGGGTTCCGGAAAGCTAAGCCCTTATACTATAACCCCTAAGCGCAAGGCCCTAACATACCCTAACATAACCCTAACCGCCCTAATCCAAAGCCTTTGATTGGCCCTAAACTCTAATACCCTACAGGCTCTTAAGCCCCCAAGCCCTTAAACCCGAAACCCAAAGCCCTGAACCTTAAAGCCCGTAAACCCTAAACCCTAAAACCGTAAAACCCTAAAACCCTAAACCCTAAACCCTAAAACCCTAAACCCGAAGCCTTCAACGCCGATTCCGGTGCTGAGGTTATCCTAGGTAGTATTAGGGAGACCCCTTAAAGGGGACGCTTCTGAACCCTACTTGTGGCCCTCTTAAAGCGGACCTTATTGAGAGGGTCTAAATCCCCAAGGGTCCCCCTTAATCCTAACTCCCAGGTTACTTCGACCAAACCTTGGAGTGTCGGCAGCTCCTGCGGCTGCCCGGATCGTGGGTTTGGGACTTTCGGGATTTAGGTCTTTAGGGATCCATAATAGGGGTTAGGGTCTAGGGTTTAGGGTTTAGGGGTTTAGGGTTTAGGGGTTTATAGGGTTTATGCAGTTTAGGGTTCAGGGCTTCATGGTTTTGGGGGTTTAGGGTCTATGGGTTTAGGGTCTAGGGGTTCATAGGGTTTGGGACTTTCGGGGTTTAGGGTCTAGGGGTTTTTGGGGTTTAGGGGTTAGGGTTTAGGGGTCTAAGGGTTTATAGGGTTTATGCAGTTTAGGGTTTGGGACTTTCGCGGTTTAGGGTCTAGGGGCTTATAGGGTTTAGGGTTTAAGGGTCTAGGGTTTAGGGTTTAGGGTTTCGTTCGCATGACTTCGGAGCATGTGCTGGACACATGGATTCGGACAGTAATCACGTTCTCAGTTCTCAGTGCGGTTGATCATCAGTATGCCATAGACTTTGCAGGCCTCGGGTGTTGGGGGATTTAGGTTTGAGTCTTGTGGCGCTGCTTCCCGGACGCAGTAGTCTGGAAGTGCTATTTCCCAGCTCAGGAGGCGAACAAAAACAGGGTCTCGCACGATTAGTATTCATATCACAATTATTCCCCCCATGTGCTCGGACACGTCAAGGAAGGATTCCGCGAGGGAGAAAACCTCCTCGAGCAGTGCGCCTGCCTCGGCCCGTGGACGTCCTTCTGCCGACAAGGCTTGGAATTCAGAGCAGATCAATCGCAGAATAAGCTAAACCCTAAACCCTAACCCCTAAACCCCTAAACCCTAAACCCCTAAACCCCGAAACCCTAGAAGGTCTATAGGACTATGGGGTTTAGAGGTTAGGATTCAGACATCTGGGGTGCAGAATCTAATTGTCCGGCGGGTTTTAGGGTCGAGGATTTTGGTGCCCACGCGGATGCAAGCAACCCTCGACCCTTAAACCCTATGCACCTAAACTCCAAAGCCGTCAACTGCTAAACCCTCAAAACCCCGAAGCCTTAAGCACCTAAACCCTAAACCCGAGATGCCACAGGCCTTCGCAGCTCCAGTGCGCCGTGCAGCGACGCCGCGCGGGAGGCCGAGCCAGCCAAGGATGCAGGGTTTAGGGCAGTTTAGGGTGTAGGACAGTTTGGTGTTTCGGGCAGTTCATAGGTTTTAGAGATTTGGGAATTTAGGGCTCATGTGCTGGTCTTCCTTGCGGCTTGAGCGGTTGAGTGGCTGCTCTAGTCTGGGTCACGGTCCAGATGTTTCCGTGCATTGAGTATGCTTGTTCAGCCTGTATACGTTTTCGCTGACTTGTGCCTATGTCCTTGCTCATGTGTGCATGCATTGAGTCGCTTCGGTATCTAGCTATGCAACGTCCTATCTCGCGACAAGCCAGTTTCTTCCCCTATGCGCCGGGTGTAACCACCTTCACCATCCGGCAGAAATGCCTTGAGGTGACTATCTATGTTTTAGATGGTTATCCTTGGGGCCGGCGAAGAGCCGCTTCTATGAACTCAGAAGTCCGCCCTCAGAACTCTGCACACAGCAGACAAGTCCCGATGTGTCCTAGTCCTAGACTGTTTGTTTGGGGTTCTTTAGCAGAAAGAGGCGAGTCTCTATAGTGGTTTTGTGGTGGGAAGTGGACGCACTCATGCATCCTTGGGGCTGTTCCGACACAAGTTATGGAACCAGGCTGGCATCTGAGCCGCAGATTGCCCCTAAATCCTAAACCGAGCCCAAACCCTAAACTCGCAACCCTAAACCCTAAAGACTTGTGCTTGAGGCGCCAGGTGTCTCGCAGTAGAAAGACCTCAAAAGCACTCCGTCGCTCTCGAACCCAGCCTTCTTTCTCAGAGATGGTGGAGATTGCGATCGAAGAGCTCCGTTTTCCGTCGGAGAAATCCGAAATTCCTGCAGATCTTCTCAGAGGAGTTCCCCTTCATTCGTGCCTGAGTGGTACGGGCAGGCATTGGTGCCATCCCGGTAGCACATGGAGACCGAAGACGAGCAGACACAGGGTCACGCAGTATGGCGTCTTTTTCAGCCATGACTGGAAGAGTGGGCGCTGGAGCAAGCATCTGTCACTGCTGGTGGCCTTCAACGGCATGCCTGCTGCAATAGCGGGGTGGGCATCAAGCTTAGCGATGGGTCTGCTTGCATTTCTTGGCATTCTGCCCAAATCCTACAATGTTTGGATGCCTGTGTGGGGCTATACGGTGTCGTTGGCCATCTTCTTCTTCTGGCAGCATGTGCGGAAACTCTTCGCTGGGCCCACAATTTGCATTTATTGACAGTATTTGCATACCACAGGGTGACGAGGTGCTGAAAGCACGATGCATCCGAGGATTGGGTACCTTCCTGACAAGGTCCGAAAAGCTAGTTGTTTTGTGGTCGCCGCAATACTTCCGTCGCTTGTGGTGTGCATATGAGACGGGGTTCTTCTTGCGGGAGAAGGGCGACGTCAAAAAGATTCAGTTCGTGCCCGTCCAGATCGGACGCATTTGTGCATGTCTCTTCATAGGGGTGCTGCTCTTCCAAGGGACGATGTATGCGGTAGTGTGGGGGGGCAGAGAGTGGGATGCAATGCAGGCGACGGGCATCATGGCTCCTGCGCTGGTGCTGCAGACAATTCTCTTATTCCCAGTTCTGCAATACACCATGACCGCCATGCTCAAGGATCTGTCGCAGCTGCCGAGACAGGTCAGCGAGTTTCGCGTGCAGGACTCTGAATGCACGTGTTGCACACAGCAGCACGTTCACCCTGTGACACATGCACCCATTGCCTGTGACCGCGAGCTGATCTACAAATCTCTACGCAGTACTTTCGGGCCTTCCGTCGAGAAGATGGAGGAGGAAGCAGCGCTTGATGCATTCAACGGCTACGTGCGGGAGACGCTCGCTCATGCCATCAACCGAAGCTTCAGGCATCACACCATGATTTTGAGGCAAGCACTTGTGACCTGTGCCACCGCCTGCGGCCCGTGGGCATCCTCGAACTTGGCCAGGGCTGGTGAGTCAACATCCTCAGAAGACATGCTTCGATGGCTTGCAGGATTCATCTACATCAACCTCGGGCTCCTTTGCCTGATGCGGATCGCTTTGCTTATCGGTAATTTCGGCGTGTTTCGGATGGAGAAGTACTCCCAACCGGTTGTCGTCTTGAGTCAGGTGGTGATGCTTACCTTCAGTGCGGCTGCGATACTTTTGCCCTGGCCCGTGGCCTGGGTTCTGTCTGTTTCCGGTTACCCTTGGATTGCGAGCACTGTTTTGGCTGCAATGCTGTGCATGAGCGGCTGTTTCCTTTGGCCGGCTTTCAGTGCCCCAGCTGGTATGCATGCTTTGCAGCCCGATCTGCCAAGCACAACCTATGGAAGTGAGACCGGGTCAGGTCGTGACGATGACGAAGGGTCAACCTTCGAGATTTAGAAGCTTCGACTCCGACCACAGATCAGGCATCTGCGAGGAGCCACAAGGTAGCAAACCCTTAAGGGGGCTTGCTATAGAGTGCCGTTTATGAGCAGGATAAACACTTGCAGGCCTCTACTCTCTGAGAATTGTCCAAGGTTCTGAGAAGCGGCAGCAGCGCAGTTTGTCCAGGGGCCCGAATAATTACCAATACTATATTTGGGGCTCCTTATATTATAAGTATAGAATAATATACCGCAACACCTTATTCTAATGACTAGGGCCCCCCCAAATGAATCATTGTCAGTATGTCTACAGCATGTACAGTGCCGCGAAATGATTCTTGTCAAGGGCTGCCTCAAAGACAGCCACGCTCCCTAGATAAGTCCAACCTGAGGAGGCTTCAACTACCTATCATGCCAGGCGTCGAACCTGAGAATTTAACCCCAAAGCCTAAAACCTAAACCCTAAACCCTAAACCCTAAACCAATAGAGAATTTCGATTTCTTCCTGAGGATGTAGATTCTCGGAAGAAGGGCCCGAGTTGGACAGTTTCACGTCTAAATTTCTCTCCGAAGGAGACGAAGCTGTTGTCGACTGCCGCAGAGTCCCCGGAAAATCGCTGCTGCTTGAGTGTCCTGAATTTATAGAAGCCGGAATAGGTGCCACTACTATCTGTAAGGATTGTCTTGGCATGAGATACCCCAAAACCCCGCGTTAAAAGCACAAGATACCCCCCAAGCCCTCCTACAGCACAAGATACCCTAAAACCCCTTCAAGTACACAATCCACCCGTCACAAACTCGTAAACCATCAGCCCTAGACGCCCTAACCCAGACCCTACTGTAAATCATGAGGTCCCGATGTTCGATCTATGCTGGGGCTGGTGACAAGTCTTGAGTTCAGACTTGGGTTTGGAGCACGTTGTATTGATTTGGGTTTAGGGTTAAGGGTTTGGGGTCGGTGCAAAAGACCATGGTTTAGGGTTGGGGGTGTTATGGCTGGTCGGTGCAAAAGACCATGTGTAAGTGCAGTTGGGCCTTTCGTTGTGGGGCTTTAACTTGCCTTGGGTCGAGACCCCACCGCCGCGAAAGTGGGAGGCTGCCGCCGCTCCCGCCGAAGCGTGCGCAGTCGGGGCGGCGCTGGGAAAACTTCTGGCAGGAGTTCTGAGGGAAGGATTGGCGCAGAAAGCCCACTACTTGGGTTTAGACTTCAGGGCTTCAATGCATTACACTAGTTTTTCCATTATGAGGCTGTCGGTGTGTGCCACGTTGCCGCTCCTCGGATGGCATGCCTGCCAGCTGTGGGTTTCTTTGCAAATTGTGCATGCGATCCATTGTTGAGCGCCTGGGTGTAGGCCAAATTGCAGCTCCTTCGATGCAAGCATGACTTGGGGTTTAACCGACCCCTGCTCACCCACAGAGTTCTCCCCCAAGCCTCGTCCCGAGACCCAGGCTTGTCCGAGTGTAAGCGCCCAAAATAGAGCCGCAAGCCCGAAACCCTACATCCTAAACCCATGAGCCTTCAACCTTGTTCCTAAACCTCATGCCCTAAGCCGTAAGGCCTGATTCTCACCCGAGCCCCTAAACCCCTAAACCCCTAAACCCCTAAACCCCTAAACCCCTAAACCCCTAAACCCCTAAACCCCTAAACCCTAAACCCCTAAACCCCTACCCCCTAAAACCCTAAACCCCTAAAGCCCTAAACCCTAAACCCTATAAACCCGAGCTTTGGGGAGAGAAAGGGGGCCGAGTAGCTCGAGAGCCCTTGCTCGGGTCGACCAGGAGCTCACCAGCACTGACCCGGCCATCCTGCATCTGGACAGAAAGAACTGTAGGGTTTAGGGTTCAGGGGTTTAGAGGTTTAGGGGTTTAGGGGTTTAGGGGTTTAGGGGTTTAGGTGTTTAGGGTTTAGGGTTTAACGGGTCAAAGGGTTTAGGGCTTAGGGTTTAGGGGTTTAGAGTTTCGGGTTTACTTGATTCCCGATGCAACAGAACTCGGGTGTAGCAGGTCACAAACCCGTGCAAATTCGAGATCCACAATCCCTTCAGCCCTAAACCCCGACACCCCAAAGCCGGAGAAACTGCATCATGCGTTTGTGAGCCGAACGGCGCAGCAAGACCATGGCTCCCTTGGCATAGGTTGCCTCAGAGTGATTTGGATTGTGGGTTCTGGGCTCAGGGCTTGCTTGAGGTTCGGCAAAACCGAGGCTTTGTGTGTTTTGTCAGTAAGTCTTTGGTGGATAAACCCTTGCTGAAATTTGCCAACCAGATCAAGCTGCACGTTTCATGTCTAGCTCCATAGTAGCCCGGCAACCGCTTCTGAATAGCCTTTCTCCACAGAGCCAACCTTGCAAAAAAGTCAACAACAGGCTAAGACGAGCGATAAACTCGCGCCTCCCAGTCAAGACAAAACTCAGCATACCAAGGAAATTCTAGATGATGACCGATATTTTTCTAAGGGTTTCCTGCGAAAAGTCATGATTTAATATGCTCCAAAACCCTATCCGAATCATTGTAAGGCTTTTATGGTTCTCTGCACCTGCTTTCGTATCCTTGTTTTCCTAAGGACTGGATGCCTTACCATTCCACCATGAAAGACCTTCCGAGGGAAAGTCCTTAGTATTAAACTCCCTACATGGGTACTTCCCTAACTTAGGGTCCCTATCAAAAAAAGGGTCATTTTAAAAAGGGTGCCGTACTATACTGGGAACCTTAACAGGGACCGTGGACCCTAATTTAGAGAGCTACCCACCTCCTAAAGTCCTTAATGCCAGACCCCTGAAACACTACAGCCTAAAGCCTAAGCCCAAAGCCGAAACCCCGCGAAGTCACAAAAATCGCAAACCCTAATAAATCGAGCTGAAATCAAACCCTAGCCGCCGAATCCTAAGCCCAACATCCTAAACCCTAAACCCGAAACCCTAAGCCCAACATCCTAAAGCCTAAGCCCGGAGCCATAAGCCCAACATCCTAAACCCTGAACCCGAAGCCCGGGAGCCAATTCAGAACGGTTGCCTGGTAAAGCCGAAAGCTCAGGTCCTTAGAATCCGAAAGGCAGCGATGGCAAAGCCCCCAGGGTAAGGGCCTGAGGCAGCAGACGCCGAGGAGGGCCTGGGGAGGAGGGTTCCTCCGAGGGTTGCCTGGGTTTAGGTTTAGGGTTTAGGGTTTAGGGTTCAGGGTTTAGGGTTTAGGGTTCAGGGTTTAGAGGATACACGTCTTTCCCGGTAGAGCCGCTGCAGAACGGATGCAAAAGGGTTAGGGTATGTTTAGGATGAAAAGTTTAAGGTTAAGGGCCTTTACGGATGCTTGCATGTCAGTTTCGGGGCGCCGCTGTCAGTCTAGGTTCTACCGTTCAAGAACGATTCCATCTACAAGGTTCTTGTTGCGGACCTTTACGTAGGCTACCATGGCATCCACCCTATGGTATATGACGTGCGCTCCCTCTTGTGACGGCTCGAACGGAAAGTCCCTAAGACCGTAGGGTTTAGGGAATAGGGTGATTTTATTTGTGCAAGTGGCACTGCACGTACGGTTTCCCCTTTTATATCAACAGGTACTTGACACCGCCGGGCTTAGGTCAGGTAGCGGGAGCCATCCGAGAGCACATGCATGCTCATCTTGAACTACCTACCCATGAAACTCTCCTAAACCCCAAAGGCTAATCACTGCCCACATTTATTTGACACCCCTCTAATGATACAAGCACTTCCCGGAAATCATCCTGAAATCATCCTCGCCTTTCAAAGCCTATTTTAATTGGGGGGATGTAAGAGCAAGAGCAGGAGCACGAGCAAGTGCAGAAACAAGAGCAGGAGCAAGAGCAAAAGCAAGAGCAGGAGCAAGAGCTAGAGCAAGACCCGCTGCAAGACCCGCAGCAGGAGCAAGAGCAAGAGCAAAAGCAAGAGCCCCAACAGGAGCAAGAGCTAGAGCTAGAGCTCGATCAAGATCCTCCCCAAAGTGAGAGTGGAGATTTAAATCTACCGCCTGGTAAAGAAAAACACGTTTCGATGGTTTTTACTGGGGTTAAGGGGGGCCGTTCTCCGGGTGTTGAAGATTAGGGGGAAGCGACTAAACCCTAAACCCGAATTTTGAAAGCAAGCGGTGAAAGTCCAGAGAGACTCCGAGCCCTCAAGCACTGAAGTGCTGAATCATCAAAGGGCCCCCCCTGCTTTCCAGGAACCGCAGCGACTCCAGCGAGTCTGTGGCAAAAGCCAAGCCTGTCTCTTGACTCAGAGGGGTTTTTTGAGCTGCAGAATCTTTTAAACTTATTTGGGCTCTGAGCCAACTTTGAGAATGTTTCAGATGAGAGCGGGGTGATATGTCCACTAGGTAAGTTCCAGAACTAGATTTGCCCTTTCTATTTTCGGTTCCCTTACTAAACCTGAGTAGCAGGAAAACGAGTAATTACCCTCATTATTAAGGGGCCTGCAGCCTCGAACCCCCGACCCCCCTGGCACCTAAACTCACAGAGCCCTAAAGCCCAACCCAAAACTGCTAAGCCCTGATTCCGTTGACAACACTGGGCCCTGAACCCTTATAAAGCTATAGAAAACACAATACCCTATATAGAAACCATGGCACCAACAAGCACAAACCCCACAACATGTATACCAGGCATGAGTCTACAATCCAAACAGAATATTTAGAGCCACTGAGTCCAGCAACTTAACTTTAAACCCTGAATTCTGAACCCAAAACCTTAAACCCTAGACTCTAAACCCTAAACTCTAAACCCCTTAAACCCTAGACCCCAAACCCTAAACCCTTAGCCCTAAACTTTAAACCAAACCTTAAACCCTCGACTCGATTCAAGTTGGTAGCTTCGAGGATGCCATGGCAAAGCACCTGGCTGAAAGGAGCGAGCTGGAAAGGCCCCTGCCATTTTCGAGCTTCTAGGGTTTACCCATAGGCCCCTAAGTAGTTCCTTTTTTGGGAGTACATTATGGGAATCTAAGTATTAACCATAAAAAGGAAATACTTAGGGGCCTATGGGTAGAGTTTAGGGTTTAGCGGGCTTCTT